ACTTGGGACCTTTCAGTCTACAAGATAAATTGCAGGACTATATGGTTCAAACTATCTAAACTTGGAATTTATCGATGTTTTTCCCTACTATATACTCTAAATTTTACCATGTAAGTTCCGTTGAATTAATATAATTTCATTGCTAATAAAAAGAAAAAAGAAAAAAATTAATATGTTAATGATTTTAATTGTTACAAATTGCATTCAACAAAGGTGGTGTTTATGAAACAATTTTAGTTTTTCTTTGTAATTATCTTTTGGTAGATATTATCGAATCAAGAAGACGAGATATGTTACCAAAAATTGACAATTAGTGATTTTTTTTGTCACGATTATCAACAATTAATGACATTTTTATGTGACGAATTTTTTAAATTGTCACTGAAAGTTGAAAATTAGTGACTTTTTTTGTGAGATTTTTTTACACTATCGCTAAAATTTATAATTAGTGATTTTTTTGTGACAAAATTTTCAAACTATCGTTAAAAATTAACAATTAGTGATATTTTTTAACAGTGTTTGATGAAAAATATCATTAATTATCATAAGACCTATTAGACAATAAATTCACTCATTAAGACCTGCACGTACGTTCCCTTCCTCTAACTGTTGATGTTAATATAAAAAATGCCCAAGCTACATATCAGCAGCTGATCAAAGGATGACTGAAAGGGAAAAGGAAAAGATAAGTGAAATATGAATAAAATATCATACATTTGACTTAATTTCACACATATTTTCTCTTTCTTTTTTTAAATCTCTTCTCAAATTCTCCAATCAAACATAACGTTAGTCATCAATATGCCTTAATTAGTTGAAGAATTTATATTAGAAAAGCCAACTAATTAACCTCATATTGCCTACAACCTATGAAGCACCGATACTTTAAAATAAGTACTGTATCCGAGTCAGACACACAAACACTTCGGGGACACGTATGAGACACACCATGTGTTTAATAAATTTAGTTTTAGGGGACACGCTGGAGACACTTCGGGGACACACAAGGGACATGTCAAGTTGCATTTTCCTTCATTTTATTTAGTACTTTTAATGAATGTTGAAGGTTTATTATTCTTTTCTTAGATTTAAATACTTAATAGATCATCCATAATATATATATATATATATATATAAATTGTAAGTGTTAATTTAAAAATATTTAAAAACAAAAATAGAATTAAAATTAGTTTTTGTTAATATCGATTATTTATGGATGTAATATTAATCTAGATAGAAAATAAAAATATATAAAACATATTTTATTGCCGTGTCCACGCTACGTCCTTGTCTCCTTTTTTTTGAAATTGTTGTGTCTCGTGTTCGAATTTATGTCCGTGTTCATATCTGTATCTGTGTCTGTACTTCTTAGCATACAACAGAGAACATTATTGCCATGTAAGATTGATGATCCACTATTTTTTTTTTTTTGTTGTTGTTGTTGATGTTGATGGGAGATGATCCACCATTTAACCAATAGAAAAATGCATTGCCACAGTCTAACCATCCTCAAGCTGACTCGAAATAAAAATTAGCATCTGCTAGCTTCAGCGGGTAGAACTCTCTATGTTGAGAGTAACAGATTTTCCAGTAATCTTAATTGCTCATATCAGTGATGAAACTAACGTAGAACCCAACAGACTTACACTAACAAAGCAGTAAAATCGATGGTAATAAGCGTCTAAACAAGCAAACTGAAGTCCCTAGCTATTGACATATCAGCATATAGTAATTGAATATGAATTGGAATACTTTGTTCATCATATATTAGTATAAGTTTATGGACCTACCTCTTTTTTTTTTTACCTCTTTTTTTTTTTTTTTTTTGGCAAGTCCAAGGATTTGCAGTTGACAGTGTTTCATTTATCAACATCCTGCGACTAGAAATTTGAATTCATTTACATAATAAGTGGATAATGTATAGATAAAATCACTCACATGCTAGAGATAATTAGGATGTGAGAACTGTCTGAGTAGATATTACACCTTCACTGCCTCTAAGATGCAAGTATTCTATGAAGAAAATATGCAATCATTCATAATGAGTAAATGTTAAAGGATGTAAAATGAAACATAAGAACTAATAGGAGTCACTGAGAATAATCAATACCTTCTAAGTGCTTGGTACTTCATATTATTTGCTTATGCTAGTCAATCAAGTACAATTATTCAGTGAAGTTGGTTGTCTTATTCCAACAATAGCACCAAAGATCATCGTGAGGTCATCACTTATCAGGCTTTTGAAGTTATGTTCAATAAGAGATGTATCTACAAAGTCCTGCCAAAATCCAAATTAGAAGCAATGATGGTACTCATGAACTTTTCATGTAGCTTAAAGCACATTTTGCAAAAAAGAGAATAAGTAAGCCAGACAATGTGGAGGCAAATTTGCAACAAGGTAGAATTTCTCTGATATGACATACTCTTGAAAGAAAACTCACTGGTATGGGCATGCGATTTTGATTCATGGCAAGTTAGTTAGGCACTCAGATTAACTGAAATTCACAGCTTTGCCGTTTTGAAAACTGTTCATGTGGGCTATTCTAGAGAAGTAACATATTGAGCCTCTTTAACAATTAGATATGACGAATGCTTTATTCTATGAAGACTTAGAGGAAGAAGTATTTACGGATGTTCCACCTAGCTTTGAAGATTTCTCAGTTGATGGGAGTGTGCAAGCTTAAAAAGGCATTATATGAGTTACAAAGTCTGCTAGAGCATAATTTGAGATGTTTACTGGGGCTATGCTTAGATGTGGCTACAAATGGAGTCAAGATGACCGTACCCAAGTTATTTAACATTCAAATGAAAACAAGGTTACTACACTTCTTGTGTATGCTGATGATATTTGATATATAAGAAATGTAGAAGGGGTTTGAGATAAAAGACTTTGGTAACTTAAAGCACTTCTTGAGTATTGATGTTGCAACATCTCAAAGAGAGTGTTTATCTCATTAAGAACATACGTTTTGGACCCTTTTAAGGACAACGTGTGCTTGGGTATAAAGCTATTGATACCATGTTGCAGCAGAATTGCACGGGTTGAAACTAAAGATTCATTTGACAATGAGAGATTGTGAGAATATTAGTATATATATTGGTGTGAATATTTTAGATTGTGTTAGATTGTATGAATATTTTATTCTTAAGTTTATTCTTGTTTCCTATTTAGGATTAGGCCTAGAATTGCTATGTAAATAAGATGTACACATTGTATTGTTTCACAATTGAATATATAGATTATTATTCAAAAACTTACAGAGATATCAAAGGCTGGTTGGTAGGTTAATTAATCCATCTCATACTTGCCTAGATATATACAAGAAATTGCATTTTTCGCAACGCAACAAAATATGTTGCTAAAAGGGAAAATTCGTCGGCAAAGAGTTTTGCCGACACACAAAGCTATGTTGGCAACCCGTAGGCAAAAGTGAGTCGGCAAAAGTTTTTGCCGACTAAATTATCATTGCGTTAGTAAAAGTAATGCCTTTAGCGACGAACATAGTCGTCGATAAAAGCCTTCATCCATCGTCGGCAATTTAGCTTGCGCCGGTAAAAGTCATTCAAACACGATGATTGTGTGGCACTTTTCGCGACACAAATTTGCATGGGCAAAAAATATACCTTTAGCAACAAAATATGCGTTGGCAAAAGTAAATTTTTGGCGACACATTTACGTCGGTAAATGTTATCATTTGCCTACGATTTGTTTGTTGATAAAACTTCACTTTTGGCAACCACAAATTAACATTGGCAAAAAATATACTTTTAGCAACACAATATGAGTGGGCAAAAGTAAACTTTTGGCAACACATGTACGTCGGTAAATATTGTCATTTGCCGACAATTTGTTTGTCGATAAAGGTTTACTTTTGGCAATGACAAATTGGCATTAGCAAAAAATACACTTGTAGCAACACAATATGAGTGACAAAAATAAACTTTTGGCAACACATTTACTAACAAAAATAATTGAAAATAATTTATATATTTTTATAAGATTTACAGATTTACAAGAGGCATCCCTCAGGCACCACTATTACAAACTAATAACATTGATATGAAATCACCTAAAGTTGATGTGCAAGCAAAAAAAACACTAGTGATACTGCTTTTAGAAGCAATGTATAAAACCTAAAAGGGTAAAGTCACTAAAATACCCAAATACATCCAAATGGTGAACCCACATTAGAAACAACAAATAACAAAATGAAAATATGAAACTAACAAAAACAGGCAAAATGGCATGAAAATCACCCATAAACTTATCCAGTAGACCAAAATCTAGTAGCAGCCGCCTCACAACAACATTGCAGCAGCAGCAGCCCAGCAAGCATCAGCCATGAGGGCGGCAATAGTAGCAAACCAACAGCTGCAGCAGACCAGCAGCTGCAACAGACCAACAAGCAACAACCATCAGCCATCAGCCACCAACAAAAAGGAAGATCTGGTAGCAATCTGTATTGATCAATGACAAGTTTAAAACAAAGTCCATTAGCTTTTTTATTGATCTGGTAGTAGTCTGTGTGTGTGTGTGTGTGTGTGTGTGTGTGTGTGTGTGTGTGTGTGAGTGAGTGTTAAGCATTACTATAGTAGGCTTAAAATGACACGACTCAAGTGCAGAAAACAAACCACATTAATATATTGTAAACTACATACTTCTCAAGCAAATCCTAGCAAATTGGGCACTTACAAATATCTAAGGAAAAAGGAATCAATTTCCTCTATTGTGCCAAATTCAATGTATTCAAAGAAAAACAATAATAGATAAACTGTCACTCCCTCACCACCAAGAAAAATAATTAAAAAAGAAAAAGCAATAATTATTTTACAGAAGATATTTGAGAAAAAAGCTTTACAGCTGTCAAACCATAAGCACCTGTTTCTGGAACGGGGAAGGAAGGGAGTTTGGGGTCGATCAGCTTTGCTAAATAAGAATGGTAAGTTTAATAAAAACATTTAAATGAAATTCTGCCAACAGATGCTAAGGGAGTCAAGGTTCGTAAAGTTCCACTACTCATTATGAAATACGAATCAATTCAATTCATATTCTTCACCAACAAAAACATTATCACCAATAAAATTAAGGTTAAAAAAACTACAAAATATTAGAGGACTTGCAGAATGAGAGGGGAAAAAAAAAGATTTTCTTATTTACCTACAACACAAGAAACAACAACTTCCACCTCCCCACGTCCTCCAAGGCCTTTCATGTGAATCCTGTCAGTTTTCCCAAGGGAATGTCCAAGTGACAGGAGGCTCCCAAATCCAGACTTCCCAGCTGTAAAAGAGAGGGAGAGATAAGCCCAGACAAAGAAAGAATAACTTTCTTTCTTTTTTTCCGTAGTTGGTCAAAAAAAAAAAAAAAGAAAGAAAGAAAGAAAGAAAGAATAATGCTCAAAATTGATACATAAAATTTTAGTGCAGTACTCTGATATCCAGAATTGGTGATTTAATCAAACTCTGTAATGGAAATGTCATAACTACAAACTTTATTTCGGGAAGTTGTAAAAATTTTGATTGAATATCACAAACTAAAAGATTATGATATAAACTTTGTTATTCTAGCAAGGTAAACTATTAATGTCAAGTTTTTGATCGACCAAAGGAGCTGAAAATTATTTCCACATCGATAAATACATGGCTTGAGTAGTTTTACTTTTCTTTTTTTTATTATTTCCATATCGATAATTGTTAGTATTTGGATGATAAGTAAGTGTGGAGAAAAGTTTCAAAGCAGAAACAATTTGTTAGTAAGGAAAAATTTAAAATACTTTCCACTAATCAATATTGAACTCAAAGCCTGAATGGACGAGCAGTCTGCACAAGCAAATTGCATGCACATAGTGATATGCTACTTGCCACAAATCATTTACTTGGGGAAATGACATTATATTATGGACTTCATGGAAGAAATTCCACTGAAACACTTGCTTCAATATTGATCAATCAACTAGTGGGAGTCAACATGAAAAAATCCACCAATAAAAATTCATTTGAAATATTAAAACACACCTATTGGAATAAAACAAACTTCAAGGACAAGGGTATTTCTTTTCATTCAGTTTCACAAAATTATAATGCATCAAGTTGATGACTACTTTCAACTATAATCAGCAGCAATTATAAAATCTCAATCAGAACCACAATTCCTTAATCAAGAGCTGTGTGGCTGCATGAGTCACTGAAGCAGGAACAAGTACAAATGAGCATATAAAGTGTTATATGCTACAAGATTGGAACTCAGGAAATGTCTTTAATGCCACACGTTAGATGATGAAGAAAAATTGTAATAAAAAAAAAACAGTAAATGTCCTGAGACCCAAATATTAAAATGAGTCCAAGATTAAATGCTATAATAGATAAATATACCTTCATTTGCATCTCGAACAATTTGATAACTGACAAACCCTGGAAAAAGAGTAAGTTGCAATCACAAACTACCAACCCATTAAGATGCTATTACTTTAGAACAAGCTAAAGCCCTCCACTCTCTTAAATGAGGAAGAAATTGTGTGTTATGTGGGGGGGGGGGTAATCAATTAGCATTTTATGAAAACACTTGACAAAAGTTAAGATTTCAGATTTTCAAGTTTTATCTATGACCAAAATATTTATCAAGAGGCTGCTAGTTTGTATCTCAGCCAGCCATGCCTAATACTAAACCAACAAGAGGAGAGAGCAATCCAAACAAAAAAGGTTATACCCAGTGCACAAGGCTCACACTTACAGCAGGGCCTTGGAATGGAGCATGGTGTCCAAGTTCCTTAAGTAGTACCACAATCTCAATATAGAATCTATAGATTGAGTGTATAGGGTTGGGTCTTCTTTTTATTTATTTGCTTACAAAATATATATATATATATATATATTTGTTGTCCCTCCTTGTTGAAGCTGTGTCAATAATTCTTATGGCAAGAGCAGAATAAGGAAATAGTCACTTTGCTTTACTTGAGTTCTATATTCAAGTAGGCAACTGCTTTAGTTTTTTATTCTTCAACCTCTCTCATCTAATTTAGTTTTTGATCGTAAACAATTACGCATAAGACCGTGCACATCACCCTCTTGTTGTCTATGTTTATTCTTCTTCTTTTATATATACATATGTGTGTGTGTGTGTGTGCGCGCGCGCAATTCGTAAACCTTGTTTAGTGTAGTCATGTTCAATTATCCATTAAGGTAGGTTTTGGTTTTTGTTTACAAACATTTTTTTATGCTTTCCTCATGTTTCTATTTCCAAGCTAACTAAAATAATGTACAGAAATGAAATTCTGGCCCTTATATATAATATATAAGCAAAATCCCATCAATTTTTAAGAATTAAAACACTGGTTTAGTGACTGTTCATCAGCAGCAAAGTGGCAACTGAAAAACATACACAATAAATAATAGAAATACTAAGATCAAGTTGTAGGTTCAACCCTGGGTAAGTTAAGGAATGTAAAGCGAACAAAACTATCACTCCTGAGATATATAGATATAGTTGGAGACAATTGCTACTCAAACTATGGTGTGAAGAACAACAAATAGCACATAGTCACAATATACTTCGTCTAGCACAACATATAGTCATGATTTCTTAAGACAACAATAGCACATCCCTAGGTGAGCAACTGGATAGAAACACAGTACAATTATTCAGCTCATAATTAAGAACATTATTTCACATCAGGGATAACGAAGAAAGACAACAACAACAACAACAACAACAACAAAAAAAGACAACAACAACAACAACAAAAAAAAAAAAAAAAAAAAAAAAACAAAAAAAAAAATCAGAAACTCAGGCAAATCATGAAATAAATACTAGTATTCTTTGCATAAACTAATGAATATATCAAACCTTTGTCTTCTCTATCTTTCCAGAACCAGTGTTGATTTTCAAAGAAGAAATATCACTAGAACTGCAATCTTGTGCAGTCTTTTCACTAGGAAATGCTGCCCCACCATCTGCATTTAGAATTACACAATAGCAGTGATCTGTATCTATCAAGACCTGCAAATCAAAAAATCCCAGATGATAAATGAAACAATGCAAGAAACAATACTTAATTCAAACATGTAACTAATAGATTTCAATTTTTACCTCATTTCTCTAAATCTTCAGTGGATACAGTTGAAAATAACTAGGGAGTCATGTATTTATAATGATATAAAAACTTTGTTGTGAGTAAAAATGAACTAAATAAATATGTGATGCACTCTCCTCACCAATTTTGAAAAGGCAAAAGCCTTAAAGCATGACAGATCATTCAAAATCAGAAAAGCATATATGTAAACAACATATATGTTCGATATCTACTAATTTAAGTTTTACAATGGTATAAATCATTTTTATCCTTTTACTTAACATCATTATTTTTCAATTTGCATATCAATGACAAAACTGCAGATTTTTCAGCAGAAAGATATGTATTGTTAACAAAATTGCAGTAGCAACTCCAGATTGATAATTTTTTTGGCTATATGCCAAATCTGGAATGCATCATTTTCACACTCATTTCCCAACTCAAAGCAGAGAGAGAGAAAGAGAGAGAGAGAGAGAGAGAGAGAGAGTTATCTTCAAGGTATTGTGCTTGAGTTGTGGCAATAGTGTCTGTAGTTACTCCACTGACGAGGGGTCCCCCATATCGCAGAACATGACGACCTGGTGTCACATAGCCCTGAATGGTTGGATACCCCTGGTTACCAGAGAGAGGATGACCCATTTGTCCATATGGGACAATATTTGTGTTAACTGTGCCTGGTATGCCATATATTTGAAGGTAATGCTGACCCATGTGAGGATTGTAGACACCCTGAAAAAATAGACAGAACACACCATAATTGTGCACATATTCCTTTCCAGAACCAACTGGAGTACCAAAATACCCATTACTAGTTGAGATTTGAATTTATTGACCTATGGGTAGGCATATTCAGGTCCAAAGATGCGTACCTGCCAAAGGAAAGATTAATGCCTTGATGTCAAAGAGCACATCAATTAGTTTAGGTTGTAATGCAAGTGGACGTCAGATGATCATGTAACTGAACACATGAAGCTCTGACATCATAAGAACAAGGCTTTTCTATCATACATAAATTACCATGACAATCATCTTGTGCTGATGCATATATTTCCATTGAATTCCAAATTAGTTTATAGACTACTCCGGGTACTTCAAAAGAAAGAGTTCAATTTTTTACAACATTTGCATTACTTCAATGGCAAATATCAGCATGCAGCCATGCAAACTGAGATTTAAGTAGCTTGGGTTACCAAATGAAAAATGACATGTTACTCAAATGAAAAAAACACTATGAGATCCATCTACATTTATTATAATTCAGTTAGAAATAGATGATGTTGCACAATGGAAGAAATGCTCTACAAAATTTACAAGAAAACTAAATACAACTAACACATTGTAAATCAATATAATCGAAAAGCACTGTTATGCAAATTTGAAGCATATATTTGAAACAATTAAGTAGTGAATACAAGTTCAAAAAGCATACATACAAATACAAAACAAAGAACATAAAGTTCAAGAACAAGACATGTATTGTGTACCTGTTATTCCATTTCATGCTTCTTTTTTTATTTCCAATCCCTTCAAAGAGCAAAATGTAATCAACTTCAGTACCACATTATAGCAGTTCATACGGTTGACATTAATGATTAGATGAAATCAATAACTAATATTTTAGTTCAAAAAACAAGGGATATTACACCATTCAATATATATATTTGTATGTGGAAACATATCAAAGTCATATCTATAAACAAGTCAAGAAGCCATCAACAAGCAAGTCTCACTTAGGAAAGGGAAAAGAAATCATACAACAAATTGATATTGCTAGTGTAATTTATTTAATTTGTAATTTTCTATTATTCATGACACTGATAGTGAAAAGTTGAACCACTAAATTAACAATACAATCCATCATCAACCAATTTGTCGAACAGACATTTCAACAGAATTTCTTGTTTGAACATGAGAGACATTTTAAAGATGTTGGCACACAAATAAAAGCATTTGTACCACATTAGATGACATCAAAGTGCATTAATGACCATCATCTTCACCTCATAAATAATTTTTAATAAGAAATTTAAGCTACTCCTATTGTTTTTATGTGGAATTGCTTTTGTATTCTAGAAGAAATCTAAGTAGAAACTTCATTAGCTTTTGGGATTTTTTGTTGATACTTACAAATTGTTCACGTGAAACACCAAATATATTGCCAAAGATTACATAGGAAAGAAGAAGGAGAAGACCTTCAATAACAGATTCTCCAACATATTTTCACATCATTTTGAAAAGTGGTGACAATATGTGCAGTTGGATTTGTTCCTTGAATTCTTTTCCTTTTTTTTTTCTTCTGGGTTTTTGATAGAATTCAATTATTGAATATGCCCCGTCACTAAGCCAAACCAAATCAAAATTAAGTTTTGTATCCCATTCAAATGAGATCAGCTACATAAATAATTTTTTACCATTCTGCTTTATAAATGAATATATGCTTAGTTAATTAAATAAGCATAAATTCATTTGTTGGGGTGATTTTTGTGTGTCCATTAGTTGGATCTGCTACTGCTGTTGTGTGATGTTGTGTCTTTCTTTTGCTGGTTGAATTCTTATCAACTAGTCCTTGGCATGTGTTGGCACTCTTTTGGGTGGCTTTCTTGTGCCATCCTTGTTTTTTCTTTATTGATGTAAGATGTAAGGTTTCATTCTTGGTTCTTATTCAATAAAGTTCTTTTCGCTGATCAAAAAAAAATAAATTCATATGAACTACATAATATGCCAAAGTATTCTTCCACTTGAACCAGCATATTTTGAACTTATGAATCATAGCACCTCCAACCTCATCATGCTTATTAATAATCAAAATTAAGTAACAAAATGTTCACTATTTGTTTCCCATCACTAAATTGCATTAACAACATTGCTTTTGGGATCAAATGCACATTTCTTGTGAACCGTCAATGCAATCCCTTAGTTTCCACAATTATCTTCTAGTGAATTGAAGAGGAAAAGTAAACAATTGAATTTTAGACTCCAGATCCGGAAAATTTTGCAAATGGGAGTTCCTCCCTACTGTGTCCAACAAAACTATTCAATCAATCATACGCTAGTGTTTACGCCTTCACAAACAATAAACGTAATCATAAAGTGAAACTATACTAATGACTTAATTGATGGAAGTAATTCCAAAAAACAAGCCCATTTTACAAATAGCATACTTACTGCAGGAAGTTAAAAGACTCCCAAATCCTATCCATGGAAGTTTAAGTACTACTAGTCCTACATTAACAGTGGCCACAAACATAACATCCATAAAAAGCAACCTGACTGAAAAATAGCATACTTACCGCAGGAAGTTAAAGACTCCCAAATCCTATCCATGCAAGTTTAAGTACTACTAGTCCTACATTAGTGGCCACAAACATGATATCCATAAAAAGCAACCTGACTGAGACAGTGACAATCGTCTCTGCTAAGATTCAGCAATTGAAGATAAAAATTGCTAGCAATGAAAGAGCGTATACGATCCAAGAAATAACCTTGAGGCAGAGCGGGAAAGAGACTGTCAACATTGCTTTTGGGATCAAATGCACATTTCTTGTGAACCGTCAATGCAATCCCTTAGTTTCCACAATTATCTTCTAGTGAATTGAAGAGGAAAAGTAAACAATTGAATTTTAGACTCCAGATCCGGAAAATTTTGCAAATGGGAGTTCCTCCCTACTGTGTCCAACAAAACTATTCAATCAATCATACGCTAGTGTTTACGCCTTCACAAACAATAAACGTAATCATAAAGTGAAACTATACTAATGACTTAATTGATGGAAGTAATTCCAAAAAACAAGCCCATTTTACAAATAGCATACTTACTGCAGGAAGTTAAAAGACTCCCAAATCCTATCCATGGAAGTTTAAGTACTACTAGTCCTACATTAACAGTGGCCACAAACATAACATCCATAAAAAGCAACCTGACTGACAAATAGCATACTTACCGCAGGAAGTTAAAGACTCCCAAATCCTATCCATGCAAGTTTAAGTACTACTAGTCCTACATTAATGGCCACAAACATGATATCCATAAAAAGCAACCTGACTGAGCCAGTGACAATCGTCTCTGCTAGGATTCAGCAATTGAAGATAAAAATTGCTAGCAATGAAAGAGCGTATACGATCCAAGAAATAACCTTGAGGCAGAGCGGGAAAGAGACTGTGATGGCAACAAAGAAAGCGGTAACTCCACAGACTACTCCAGCATGCTCGAGCACGCGGCCTAGGTTCGGGTGCTTGGAAGAAATGTATTTGGCAACAAAGATAAAAGCAAACGCAAACACCATTACCAGACACACCAAGTGGAATGTTATAGAGTAGTATGGTGTAGGAGTCTGGTTCGATCGGATGGCGATTTCAAAAGCGGCTGTCAAGCAGAACTCTACGACTAGCACCGGCAATTCAGGAGAAACTTCAACTACTAATTCGGGCGGCGGCGGAGCCATAACTGGAGGAGGGAGTTCAACAACTGATTCTAATGTTGTCACAATTTGCAAACTGTAGCGCTTTACCTTTATATAGTAGTCATGGAGTTGTGTTTTTTTTTTTTTTTTTTACTTTTTTAATGCATTAGTGCTATTAGTGGTGATATTTTTAGTGGGATGAATCATTGTTGTTTTTAAAAAGTGACAAAGCAAAAACAGCAAGGAGAGAGAAAAATACAGAAAGAGACAGTTTTCTTTTATTTATTTTAAAAGAAAATGCATACGGCAGCGCTTTACCTTTCTCTTTTTTATTTCAAAAGTGACAAGAGACAGAGGAAGAAACGTGGAGTTTTATTATTAGGGAAAATTACTTGCCAAATAACCGAGGAGGGTGTGGGAATTTGGTAGGTATAAACCTTGACCTCCAACTGTTCACAAAAAAACAAACCTTCTCCTCCCCAAGTTCCCCACTTTCTTCATGTCTCAAAGGTCATGTTTGTTTTCCTACAAGATTGGAGTAGGTTGAATGTAGACCCTACTCATGACTTGTTTAGTTGTGAAATGAACAATGAGATTAGTGAAGTGAGAGTGAGAGGTGAGAGGTGAGATTAAAAAAATAATTTAGAAAATTAATATTGAAAAGAGTGGTTTGCCTCTCTGTCCCCTTTTTCTTCACTTCTCCATTTCATTTGCAAAAAAATGGCGGAATATTATTGCCATTTTTTATATTTTATATATTAAATCCATTTAAAATAGTAAAAAAATAAAAAATTATTACTATGGTTTTATTAATTTGGTAGTGTACAAACAAACCCTATTTATCTTATATTTCTAACTTATTCTCACCTCGTTACTAATCTATTCACTTAATTTTACGGTATTAGTAATTCTATCTAACCTAATCTGTCAAACAAACGAGACCAAAGGAGTTAGATCCAAAAGAACTGAAATTTTACAGCTTACCCCTTTGTGGTTAGGTTTTTTTACTTGCCAATTCTATTTCTACTAAACTATTATAAATTAATAAAAAAAAATTAAGAATTTAATTATAAATATTTATAAAATTTATTATTGATTTATAATTATTTTTTAATTAAACACTCAACAAATTTTTTTCCTTATTATTAGAGAAATCTTATAAGAGTCTCTCAATGTCAAAGGACTTAAAAAAATAAATAAATAAAAGAAAAAAAAAAGGGGAAGAATAACATATCAATGGATTTTTTTTAAAAAAAGAATTCAAATTAATGATAAATTTTATAAATTTTAAAATTTCTTATTGAACATCAGAAAGTAGGATCTGTATCTTACATATCCTACATATCAGTGGACGTAAACATTTTTATGTATTAGTAATTATTTAACTTATTTGTATTTTTTCCTTAAAAAAAAAAAAGAGTAAGTGATTTTGGTTGTAGAGAAAGAGTTAAAAACAAGAAGACATAAATACA